CAATGCAACTGACAGAACCAGTGTCTTCCATCGAATATCTGAAAAATAACAAGGTCAGGTCATCTACTACACATTCAAATTTGAAATTTACATTACCATCAAACTTTTAACAGTTTGGTACCTTAATTACCCCCAGTCAGAATTTTTCAAAAAATAAAATTGTGGCCCCTGATAAGGTGAAACTCAAACCTACCAAAATATTCCACCCCTGGCTATACTCAGATCCTATACTTACCCCCAGTCATACAGAGACACAGATCGAATCAGTGATGCAGATTCCGCAAGGTCATATAACTCCACAACCCCTCTCTTGGTACCAACAGCAAGGATTTGTTGCTCTGCGGCTACTGAAGCGCATACAGCATCACCCACCCCCAATCTTTTCTCAGCTTTAATAGATTCAGCATGCTTTAAGCCTTTCTTACTTATAGAACATGACACCAGTTGTCCATCAGAATACAACACAAATAGCAACCTCATGGGAAAGCAAAGCTCTAGCTGGATAATAGCAGACTTCCGGGAGATGCTGTGATTAGAAACCACATTTCCTGAAACCCCTTTAGAAGCAACACCATTATCTAAAGAATGTGGTGATGGGATAACGTCACTGCCATCGTGTGGAAATGGATCAAGTTCAAAAGTCCCATAGAACTGTACATAAAAACAAAATCTTGCTCAAAACCTTTGTTCAAAAAGAAGGTAACTATCAACTCCCTAAACAAAAATTGTCGCATTTCAGGATGGCTAATGCATATTTCTTTTACCTCCCCTTTCCAGGAGATGCTATATAATAATCCATCAGAAAGTCCAAGTAGCATATGCTTGCTATCACTTACAATATTGCTCCTGCAAAAAGACACATTAGAAGAAAAACAATTATGGTTCCAAGTTCCAACAATAAGAATAGCTTGCAAGATTGCTCAACAACAAAATAATAATAATAATAATAATAATAATAATAATAAAGAGCTTCATGTGTTGTTATAGGGAACATCATAAACCCAAACCTAAATGCAAAACTAAATGTAACTCTAAGAAATAAGGTCAGAATGAATTTTAAAACAGAGTCGGCTATTATGAAAGAAGGCAGGAATCATTGATATAACAATGCTGTTACATAATCATTCAAGCATAAGTTGACAACTATGACGCTCATCGACTGACAAAGAAATATCTTTATTTATTATACAACTTCAGCATGTTTGAATATGAGCTCCTTAGTGATGCAGATTCTTGAGTTATCCATGCATCTATCTACAAGAAAAGTCTTATTTCTTATTCATACTTCTGTTTTGGGAGTAAAAGGTGAAAGGTGTTAACTGTATTCAAACATCTGGGAGACTAGAACCTTCCTCAGGGTATTTTCATGCATTTATTTAAAATGACAATAGAAACTACCTGACTCATTTCATTTGACCAGTACCTAAATCCTTTAAATTTGGTGAATAACTATATGGACTCTAAATTTATATGTTATCCAAATGGCACTCACACATTAATATTGATAACTCAACTTTTCCAAAATAAAATTCAGAATAATACTTACACTGCCAAGTCCTTTTGTGTAAATGGCACCTGCTCACTGAGAAGAAGAGATATAGTAGCAAGAAACAAACCAGAGGGTTGCTTCCCTCCTAGTTGTATCTTTTTCTCAGTAAACTGTACCTTGAAAAGGTGAAGAAAAAAAGACGATGTCTGCCAACAAAAAAATAAGCATATATATAAGCTTAAAAAACTAAATGTAGTTTTAGAGTTCAACGCAGAAAAAGGAAATGGTGCATATAAAATTAAAGTACTCTCATAAATCACTCTTCACGCCTCTCATTGACAGCTATCTTTTTAATCATAATCAATAATTCTTTGCCCTAAAAGATTAAGCTAAACGACATTAAAAGAAGACAAAAGTAAATTGCGCATATGAGAAACATGTTTCCGAAATGGAATCAAGTTCAGCTCAACATATCCTAATACGTCTAGTGAAACTTGATGACTACATAGAAACTGAAGTCCACCACAAAATTGGCATTGATCAGTTTAACTACCTAACGTTCATTTCCTATTAGGTCGTGAAATGTGGACATGCACACTCAACAAATCCCTGTTACTGCACAAGTAGTGACGATCCTGAAGGAGTGACCATTCAACATGGACCTTTCACATTACAAACATGTATGCCTAAATAGACACATTATAGCACTTGTTCTCATACATACATACAGAAGAAAGCATGTGAAGTTGGTATAGAGTACATAATAACACGTGACATCAATGGAATACTTACAAGAATGGCGATCAGTTTGGTATCAGGGCTCCACACAGCTTGCAAATTCTCACCTTCCTTCTGCACTGAATCCGAATCCCTAATGTACTTCCCCAGTCTCACTTTATGCTGGATCCCACCGGCCCAAAAACACAAAAAGAAATGTCACAAAAAAAACTCAAATATACGCACACTCATACACATCTCGATATGCATATATAGTTTCACAAATGCATGCAAGTACCCCCCAAATTCACAATACTCACGTCAACAATTAACAAATTCACATATACCCAAAACCCACAAAAACCCATCTCAATTAAATAAAAATGCACACTATCCATTTGAACACTGCACATATATATCTTCCCAACACCCACCCAATTCCCAATAACCACAAATACCCATCTCAATAAAATGAAAACTCAGAAAAACCCCCATATAATTACATACACAATCAAACTATACTGAAAATACACGCATACATGCACAAAAAATATACCTGGGAAGAGCTCCAGAGCTCAAGGTGAGAGGGAGAGACAACAAGCAGTAAGCGATTGATGACCTTGAGGTATACGACCTTTTGGGAAGAAGGGCATTGACCCTGCTCCAGTGGGATGACCTGCGGCCATCCATATGCCATATACATCTTCTTCTTCTTCCCCTCCTTCTGCTTCTGTTTCTCTTAATTTGAATTGTCAATTCTTTGACTTCGGTTTGGTTCTTGTGTAATTTGGAAGATATCTCAGAAAGAGAGGGATTGGATCGGAGGGAGATTAGAGTTTGTGAGTGAGATCTGAATGCATGTCTTCACCCATTTCAGGTGGATGGATCTCACAGAAGTTGGAAGCAAATACTGTTTTCACCATTTCTTGTGTTTTATTTCTTCGTTTTCACTTAATCAATAAATACGACCCCGTTCAATATGTCGTTTTCTACCTACACCTTTAACGATGGATTTTTACTAATAATTTATTTACTCCGTCCCTTTTTCCAAACATTAAAAATATTTAAAACGATTATATTTGGGTAAAACACATCATATTTTACAATTTTATTAGATAATTACTTTTAACCCTGTCCAAGTAGCGTGCGAGGATGAAATAGAATCATGATAGGTTTTAAAATAAGTTTAATTCTTATTAGTTTCGTGAATTTACAAGTTATACAAACTTTTCATTTTTTTAAGTAGCATCTTTACTAGTGACTATTTATCCTTGCATCCGAGATTAGAGTTGATATCTCGAGTGCAGAAATGGAAACTACTCAATTTATATTAAATTAGACTTGTTTTTTCTAATTCCACTAAAAGAAAGATGTGCAAGTCATTTTTTTCGATATAACATGTAATGCATGTAAAAAATGCCAGGGATGTAGATTGGTGTTACAATCAATGCAACATCGAGCCCAATCCAAGTTGCAAAGTTTTATGCCCCACATTTTCCAACATAGGGGAACGCCACACACTCTGCTCAACTTTTGTCATAAACATGGTGGGTTGGATCAAAGTTCAATTCTGTTTGCTTTAATTTCGTCAGTTCTTTTTTAAAATACAATCAACCGTCTAAATTATTAACAAAAAAATGGAGGTTTCTCATACACATTATCAAGGTGTCATAGAGGTTTGAACATGAAATCACTAGTGTGCAAATTAAGGGTCTTTTCCATTGAGTTTTACCTCGTTGGCATAATTTCATCAGTGTTTTATTTGTATATTAGCCCCTTTTTGGTGAAATATATTAGCCTTATTTTTATATAAAGCCAATAAGATAAAAATAACCATTATACCAATCATTATTGTACAACATAATATTTCTAGTAACGAGTTTGCATGGTACGTATGGATTTCGAGTGATTGCCTCTCTTGCCCCACATGAGAGAGTGAGTTGAGAGAGCCCTTTCTTTTTCTTTTTCTTTTTTTGGATTTCTTAATTAAGAACAATTATACATCCCTAAAATAAAAGACATTCCTATATTTTGTACCAAATAGGCCTGGAACAGATGGCCAGTGGTCCAAGGATCTTGTTGAGAACAATTGGGCCTCATTTCCAAATTTGTTAGGCCATCTCCAATAGTTGGGGCTTTAAAAGAGGTTGGTAGAGCTTCGTTTAGGGCTCCGATGGAATCTTTGAGGCTCTAAAGAAATTATTCTCACAACATAAGGGCTCCATATCTAGCTCTATATTCAATATAATATTATATACATGTTATTTTTAAAATAAAAACATTTATTTGCTTTAATGTATATTATAGCATGTTAGTTTTTTTTTGGTGAACATCTAAAAAAAAATCAAAATCAAAATCAAAATTTGGACAAGATTTGAAAATATTTTCTATGAAAAAACAACTTGATTGTTGCCTTGAAAAAAAAAACAAAGCCTCATCCGTCAAAAACACACAAAAACAAACCCATCTAGCCCATCCCCTCTCATTGGTCACATCAAATAAAATATAAAGCAAATAGAAGCAATCATTGGTCAAGAAGAGAGTATCATGAGCTGCAGTTACAAAGCAGGTCACCAACAACACATATGGGTTGGTAGCTTTTTCTTCATGTGGGCCCCATTCGGTTTCAGGGGCTTCAACCATGAACATAAATCTGGGTATAGCTCCAGTAGGGCTCAATCATTTAAGGCCCCAAAACTGAACCACTGGGATGACTTTTTTGCTTCAGTTGCTATATATTACAACCCAAGGGTGGTGCAGCCCACTTTAGAGCCCCCATTGGGATGGCCTAACACTTTCCAAACCCCTTCCCAAATCTTCACTTCACACAAAGCATGCCAAACCCATCTTTCCCTTCGCCATTCTCTTCTTCTTCATTATACCCCTCATCTTTTCCCAAAATGGCGAGCATGTCCGGTTCGCGGAGGCAGGAAAGCGGCGAGTCCACATCACTGACGACTTGGACGACGTCGTAGACGACGAAGAGGATGATACTTGGAAAGAATGGGGCAAGAAATCCACACCCTCTTCCTAGTTTTGCAAATTGTAGGCTGCCCAAAATGCACTATCAGATCACTTTTTGTAGATTGGGAACCATGCATTGAGCACTTGTTATAAACTTATATCTTTATTTTTGTTGTTCTTGTTGTAGTCTCTTGTTTTAGATGTTAAATATGAGCTTAAGTGGATGTAATGGCTTTATAGGTAATAGAAATGAATTTTGATGGTTTGCTATGTAATTGATTGAGGCTTTCCATTTGGCTTCAAATGAATGGCAAATTTAGTAAGGGCTTCTTTTCCCCTCACAGGATACGGTGGCTGAAATTGCTATGAAATGGACCAAAGTTCTGAGAACTGGAGCTCTTGGGGTAAGATTCATGGGTGTTGATCTAAACACAATCATGTTCAACATGGAACAAGGCCAAGACATGACAGAGGTATGCTTCTTTCCCCCCACACTGGGTCTTTTGTCCTCCAGATCAAAGAGAATGAGGTTCCCTTGTGTCCTGCTGGAGAAGTTGCTCCTTGATTATAGATGTCTTTCATTTCTTAAGAATGTTTTTTTCACAAGAAATAGAAAAATATGAAGTCTTGGGCATGGCTTACCTATTCCATAAGAGAGGTGTTGCATGCCATTTAAACCTCATGTCTTGCTTAGCATACTTTTTTGAATTGATGAGCTTATTATTGCAGATCATGAATTTCTTTGATTGGATGATGACCTGATTATTGTAGATCACGAGCTTCTGCGTTCATTTGTTCTTATACTGTTTTATCCCTTTCTTTATCTCGATTCTCCAGTTCAAGGAGTTTGTGTTGAACCAACTAGAAGCCTATGAAATGAAGATCGGCGATCAAGTTTTTCGAAGACCTGGAGATCCTCCGTTGGAGGAAGTTGTGGAGAAACTCCAGAATGAGAAAAAGAGAGTGGAGAATGAGAGTCCAGCAGAGAGCAATAGGCATTTGAAAGAGGAATTGTAGTTATGCCGGTAAGTTTTCTGACATGTGAAAAGTTGTTATTTACTATTTGTTAAAGTTGTTTAGTTTTAGTTGAAATAAACCTTGTTATAAGGAAGTAGATAAGGTTTGAATTTTTCTTTAGGAGGATCCCTTTACTTCAGGGACTGTTAGTCATGGGATTAGTCATGGGGACGTGTTCCTCTGCTTTCTATTTTGTAAAGGCTATTTAAAAGCCACTTTCCATTCAATAAATGAATTGCATTCTCTCAATTAAAAGCTAGATATTGACAATTGGTACCAGAGCTCCAAATTGGGGTCTGAAGAGCAAAGAAAAGCAGCAACTCTTGCCGTAGCAAGTATCAATGTCGACTGAAGAAAGCAGCTTTGTTCAACCATCAATCCCACGCTTCGATGGTCACTATGATCATTGGAGCATGTTAATGGAGAATTTTTTGAGATTTGAAGAATACTGGAGTCTCGTGGAGAATGGAATCACAACATATGCAGAAGGAACGGTGTTGACAGAAGCTCAACTCAAAAGCTTATAGGATCAGAAGCTCAAAGACTTGAAGGCCGAGAATTACTTGTTTCAAGCCATTGATCGAGCTATTTTGGAGACAATTCTGAAGAAGGATACGGCAAAGGATATCTGGGATTCCTTGAAGAAAAAGTATCAAGGCACGGCTAGAGTCAAACGTGCACAACTGCAAGCTCTTCGCAAAGAGTTTGAGATGTTGCAAATGAAGAATAGAGAAACAGTTACTGACTATTTTGCTCGAACATTGACTGTTGCAAAAAAAAATGAGGATACATGGAGATAGAATGGAAGATGTCACCGTGATTGAGAAGATTCTCAGGTCTATGACACCTAAGTACAACTATGTTGTATGTTCAATTGAAGAGTCAAAGGATATTGATGCCCTTTCAATTAATGAACTGCAAAGTAGTATGCTGGTACATGAACAAAGGATGACCTGTCATGAAATGGAAGAGCAAGCTCTAAAGGTTAGTCAAGAGACTTATTCACCAGAAAGAGGAAGAGGTCGAGGCAGTTTCAGAGGTTGTGGAAGAGGGAGAGGTCGACAAGTTTCATTTGACAAATTAACCGTGGAGTGCTACTACTGTCATGAACTTGGAAATTTTCAGTATGAATGCCCTCAAAAGGAGAAGGAGTACAAGGCTAATGTGGCTAACACTGAGGAAGAAATGTTGCTGATGGCATATGTTGAAGACGAAGGTGATCAAATGAGCAGCACCTGGTACTTGGACTCTGGATGCAGCAATCACATGAGTGGGAGTAAGAAGTTGTTTTCGAATATGGATGAATCTTTCAGAGATAATGTGAAGCTTGGAAACAACTCTAGTCTTTGTGTCATGGGAAAAGGCAACATAAGGATTGAAGTCAATGGAGTGAAGTACTGTATAACTAAGGTATTTTATGTTCCTGAGTTAAAAAGCAATCTAATCAGTCTTGGTCAGTTGCAAGAAAAAGGAATTGTCATTTTGATTCAAAAGAACTCTTGTCAGATTCATCATCCTGACAAGGGTTTGATCATTCAAGCTGATATGACTTCCAACCGCCTGTTTTTACTCAAAACTGAATTAGCAGCTGAGAAGCAAATGTGTTTCAAATCCACAATAGAAGAGGACACGTGGTTGTGGCACTTCATATTTGGACATCTAAATTTCAATGGTCTCAAAGCACTCCAACAAAAAAAATATGGTGAAAGGTCTTCCTCCGCTGCAAGTTCCTTCAAGAGTTTGTGAAGAATGAATGGTGGGAAAGCAACATCGTGAGCCATTTCCTAAGGAGAGCAATTGGAGAGCCACACAAATACTTGAATTGGTGCATTCTGACATATGTGGACCTGTCAACCAATCTCCAACAGCAACAAAAGGTATTTCATAACCTTTACTGATGATTTTAGTAGGAAAACATGGATATATTTCCTTACTAAGAAGTCTGAAGCTCTAGTAGTTTTCAAGAAATTTAAAGCCTCTGTTGAAAAAGAAACTGGTGTGTTTATTAGAGCTCTTCGAACTGATAGAGGTGGAGAATTTACTTCCAATGATTTTGTTCATTTCTGTGAGAAGAATGGTATACACATGCAATTAACTGCAGCTTACTTACCACAACAAAACGGTGTAGCCGAGAGGAAAAATCGTACCATTATGAACATGGTAAGGAGCATGCTAGCAAAAATGAAGGTGCCAAAGAAATATTGGCCCGAAGCTGTGAATTGGAGCTCACACATCCTAAACAGATGTCCTACTCATGCTATGAAGAGTGTAACACCAGAGGAGGCATGGAGTGGCAAAAAACCTCAAGTGAATTACTTTAAGGTTTTTGGTTGTCTAGCTTATGTTCACACTCCAGACAATCTAATAACCAAGCTTGATGATAAGAGCACAAAATATGTGGTGCTCGGAGTCAGTGAAGAGTCAAAGGCCTACAAACTGTACAATCCAGAGACTCAAAAGATCATAATCAGTAAATATGTGGTATTTGATGAAGCTAATGGTTGGGACTGGAACAATAAACAAGAAAAGAGAGCTGGTGTTGATCTTGAAGAAATTGAAACAATGAATGGTGTTGAAGAAGTGACATCTAGAGAAGTAGAAGATGAACCTGTTGGACACAATTCACCAAGAATTACTGAAGCTTCACCAAATGTATCAAGGCAGAGAAGACCCCCTGGTTGGATGACAGATTATGTGAGTGGTAATGAGCTCTCAGATAATGAGAACATTGCTCAAATTGCTTTGATCGGTGGGAATGATCCTACTACTTTTGATGATGATGTGAAGAGTTCAAAGTGGAGAAAAGCCATGGACTTGGAGATACAAGCTATTGAAATGAATGATACGTGGGAGTTGATTGACTTGCCTGAAGGAGAAAGAATAGTGGGAGTGAAGTGGATATTCAAGACCAAATTCAAAGAAAATGGAGAGATTGACAAGTACAAGGCCAAGTTAGTAGCTAAAGGTTATACTCAAGAATATGGTATTGATTATTCAAAAGTATTTGCCCCTGTGGTTCGTCATGATACCATACGCTTGGTTATATCCTTACCTGCACAAAATGATTGGTCAATCTATCAACTTGATGTGAAGTCTGCATTTTTATATGGAGAACTCAATGACGATCAACCTCCTGGATATGTGCAAAGAGGGAAAGAACAGAAGGTCTATAGATTAAAAAGGGCTTTATAAGGACTAAAGCAGGCTCCAAGAGCTTGGTATAGTAGTATAGAGTCACACTTCTTGAAAGCTGGATTCACCAAGTGCCCATACGAGCACACTTTGCTTGTCAAGCATGGTAAAGAATGTGAGATTCTTATTGTATGCCTTTATGTGGATGATCTAATTTTCACAGGAAATAATGAAGACATGTTCAAAGAATTCAAGAAGTCCATGATGGAAGAATTTGAGATGACAGACTTGGGAAAAATGCACTATTTTCTTGGAATTGAAGTGAAGCAAACAAGCAATGGGGTCTTTATTGGACAGAAGAAATATGCTGAGGAAATTCTCAAAAGATTTCACATGGAAGATTGCAATTCTGTCCAAAATCCTATAGTTCCAGGAACAAAGCTTAACAAGGATGTGGGAGGAGAATTAGTCAATAGCACTCACTTCAAGCAGATAGTGGGAAGCCTAATGTACTTAACTGCTACCAGACCTGATCCGATGTTTGTTGTGAGCCTTATTAGCAGGTACATGGAATCACCTACTGAACTTCATTATCAGAAAGCTAAGAGAGTGCTTCGTTATTTGAAAGGAACAACAGACCTTGGTCTATTCTACAAGAAGGAAACTAGAAACAAGAAGGAAGCTGGGGGTGAGTTAATGGGATTCAGCGACAGTAATTATGCAGGTGATCTTGATGATAAGAAAAGTACATCTGGATATGTATTCATGCTAAGTTCAGCAGCTGTCTCTTGGTCATCAAAAAAACAATTAGTTGTCACTTTCTCTACAACAGAAGTTGAATTCATAGCTGCAACGTCAAGTGTCTGTCAAGCTGTTTGGCTAAGAAGGTTGCTAGAAGAACTGTGCTTTAAACAAGATAACCCTACTGTGATTTTCTGTGACAATAGCTCTGCTATTAAGCTATCCAGAAATCCAATAATGCATGGGAGGAGCAAGCACATTGATGTCAGATTCCATTTCCTTCGAGATTTTGTCAAAAATGAAGTAATTGAGTTAGAGCATTGTCCAGGCAATATTCAGGTTGCTGATATCCTAACTAAGCCATTAAAGTTGGAGGCATTCGTAAACATGCGGAAATTGTTGGGGATCTGTTCAAGTTTGTCTTTAAATTGAAAGCTTTATTGCCTTTCAATTTACGGGAGGGTGAAAAGTTGTTATTTACTATTTGTTAAAGTTGTTTAGTTTTAGTTGAAATAAACCTTGTTATAAGGAAGTAGATAAGGTTTGAATTTTTCTTTAGGAGGATCCCTTTACTTCAGGGACTGTTAGTCATGGGATTAGTCATGGGGTCGTGTTCCTCTGCTTTCTGTTTTGTAAAGGCTATTTAAAAGCCACTTTCCATTCAATAAATGAATCGCATTCTCTGAATTAAAAGCTAGATATTGACAAGATGCAATATAATTTCCCCATCTCTAACTCCATAGCAACATCCACTCCGAATATTCATGCATTACTATTCAAGTAGATTTTAGGCTGCTGATAACGCCGACATGATTAGTTATCGCAATTCTGTATTTATTTATTTTAAGGGTTAATGACCTAAATGGTCCCCCAACTATTGCTCCAATATCATTTTGGTCCACCAACTAAAATTTTCAATTCAAACGCCTTAAACTTTTTATTTTGTACCAAGATGGTCCATCCGTGATGGATTCCGTCACTTCTGATCACGCGATGGCCACGTGACTGAGTTTTGAAGGGTATATGCGACTTTTTGAGAAGCTCTATCGAAAGGTATGGCTGAAATGGTCCCTCAACTATTGCTCCAGTATCATTTTGGTCCATCAACTAAAATTTTCATTTGAACTGTCCTTCCACTTTTTTTTTTTTTTTTTTTTGTATCAAGATGGTCCAATCGGTCAAAGTCCGTCAATTTTATTGTTATTTATTTTTGTATTTATCTTATTTTAAAATTTTTAATTATTTTAAACAATAGAGAAAAAAATATTATTTTTTAAGTCCATGCCACCAAAAAGAAGCCACGTTGGTCATGA